GAGGAGGAGGAGGAGGAGGAGGGTTTTCGGCCTTTTCAGTCTCCGGATGCCGCTTTCGGACCCCAGGATCGTTGAACACGGATCCAGGGTGGAAAAGATGCACTGGATGGACATTGGGAGGGGTTTTGGGCACGAATCTGAGCGGATGTGGCCTCGCCCCCCTCTGCGCAGGCCACTCCGCTGCTGCTCCTCCTGGCCCTTTCCGCGCACGCAGGCGCCTTCTGTTCCAGCAAGGGGGCCTCGCTCTTCTTTCACCAGCCTCGAACGTATCCCTATCCCTAAGATTGACACGCCAAAAGGCGATGACAATCTTGGGGATTCGCCCTGAAGAACTAAGGGAATCTCTAAGGTTGGCATTGTGTTGAGCCGATGCCCAGCTTAGGGATAGGGATATGTTCCAGGCTGGTAATTCTTGACGCGCCCCTTCCTGCAGCAGCTCGGCTGCACGCGCGCGTGCGGGCGCCGCGTGCCTCCCAAAGGACGGCGCGCGCCATCGGCCGGCTGCATCTGCGCGCGCGGACGGCGCGCGCAGATCGGGCCGGACGCACGGACTGCGCGCAGCCCGCGCACGACTGGGGGCTGGACGGAGCCCCCAAAGTGGCACGCCGATCAGTGAATTGTCCGTTTTCGGTTCTCGAGAGGGCGCATTGGCCGTCAGTTTCCCAGGCTTGCGCCCGCCAGGTTTGGGCCTCAGGTCGTTTTCACTAAACCGCGTTTTGCCAAAGGGGGGCCTGTCCATCCCCGAACGACCGCCATCCGCGGCGCAGGAGGTCCACAAGAACCTGACGGAGCTGACCCGCGAGCGCGACGAGGCGAAGGCCCGCGAGCAGGAGCTCCGCGCGCAGAAGGAGGCCGAGGAGCCCCCCGCCGCCCACCCCTCCTCCTCCTCCTCTCCTCCCTCCTCCCTCCTCCTCCTCCTCTCCTCCTCCTCCTCCTCCCCTCCTCCTCCTCCTCCTCCTTCCTCCTCCCTCCCTCTCTCTCCTCCTCCTCTCCTCCTTCCTCCTCCTGATAATCCTCCTCCTCCTCCTCCTCCTCCTCCTCCTCCGTCCCCCTTCAACTTATGGTAGTTGTGGTGGAAAACAGGCCCGTCAAGTTCGAGCACAAGAAACAGCATAACCACCAAATTCGAGGTTTTCACGTGTCTGACCCTGGGAGACGCTCGTTCGGCACTGTCCCGACCCTGTTTCGGCACTGTCTCGACACTTTCTGGGATGTGGTCCTTAAGTCCAGTCGGGCCGCTCAAGAAGGAACCCTTTTCGTTTGGGGAAGGGCCCAGCGTTCCTTATTGTTTTTACAGTTTGTCCCAGGTTGTCCTCAAGGTTTTCCACGGGCATCGAAGCTCAACTCATGGACGAAAAGGGGGCTCGTTCCTTACGACGGGAGCAACGCCACTCTTGGGTGGAGGGGAGCGGGCCGGTCAGGCCGCGGTTCGCGCCGGCACCGTCTGGGCATGGCCGGCCGCGGGCGTGCTCGCCAGCAGTGTGGGAGAATTGCTCCCTGCCCTTGCCTGTCGGTGGCACCTGCCGCGCAGCACCCCGCGGGCTGGAGTTCACGGGGACCAGATTCTCGAGAGCACCCGCCGCGCAGCACCTCGAGGGGAGAAATTCACGCGGACAAGGGCCAAGATTCTGTGGTATCCCGTCGATGCCGATCTTGTTCATGGTCCTTGGCATCGCTCGGACGTGTGCATTTTTTCGTGGCTACGACCATCGAGGAGCATTCTTAATCATCTAGTGAAATATACACGCACGGAACCGAACAAACACACAGGGAATGGACGTCCGAGCGACGGCGAGGGTCCGCGTTGGCCGTGGCCGGTTCTCGAGGATGACCCACGAATTGGCGCTGACCGAGGTGGACGGTGACCAAGATCGACGCGACGTTTTCGCGTGCGGCCTTGGCCATGGTCCCCGCTTCCTCTCTCTCACTCTCTCCACAAGATTCTGCTAGATCCTGTCGATGCCGATCTTGTTCATGGTCCGCGTTGGCCGTGGCCGATTCTCGAGGATGACCCACGACTTGGCGCTGACCGAGATGGACGGTGACCAAGATCGACGCGACGTTTTCGCGTGCAGTCTTGGTCATGGTCCCCGCTTCCTCTCTCTCTCTCTCTCTGCATCAGATTCTGCGAGGTCCTGTCGATGCCGATCTTGTTCATGGTCCGCGTTGGCCGTGGCCGGTTCTCGAGGATGGCCCACGACTTGGCGCTGACCGAGATGGGACGGTGACCAAGGTCGACGCGACGTTTTCGCGTGCGGCCTTGGCCATGGTCCCCGCTTCCTCTCTCTCACTCTCTCCACAAGATTCTGCGAGGTCCTGTCGATGCCGATCTTGTTCATGGTCCGCGTTGGCCGTGGCCGATTCTCGAGGATGACCAACGACTTGGCGCTGACCGAGATGGACGGTGACCAAGATCGACGCGACGTTTTCGCGTGCAGCCTTGGTCATGGTCCCCGCTTCCTCTCTCTCTCTCTCTGCATCAGATTCTGCGAGGTCCTGTCGATGCCGATCTTGTTCATGGTCCGCGTTGGCCGTGGCCGACTCGAGGATGGCCCACGACTTGGCGCTGACCGAGATGGGACGGTGACCAAGATCGAAGCGACGTTTTCGCGTGCGGCCTTGGCCATGGTCCCCGCTTCCTCTCTCTCACTCTCTCCACAAGATTCTGCGAGGTCCTGTCGATGCCGATCTTGTTCATGGTCCGCGTTGGCCGTGGCCGATTCTCGAGGATGACCAACGACTTGGCGCTGACCGAGATGGACGGTGACCAAGATCGACGCGACGTTTTCGCGTGCAGCCTTGGTCATGGTCCCCGCTTCCTCTCTCTCTCTCTCTCTCCACAAGATTCTGCGAGGTCCTGTCGATGCCGATCTTGTTCATGGTCCGCGTTGGCCGTGGCCGACTCGAGGATGACCCACGACCCAGCGCTGACCAAGATGGACGGTGGCTAAGATCGACGCGACGCTTTCGCGTGCAGTCTTGGTCATGGTCCCCGCTTCCTCTCTCTCTCTCTCTCTCTCCTCGAGATTCTGCGGGATCCTGCCGATGCCGATCTTGGCCATGGCCCCCGCTTCCTTTCTTTCTTTCTCTCTCTCTCTCTCTCTCTCTCTCTCCAGCACCCGCCGTCTGCGCAGCCGCCTGGCCCCCGAGGATGCCGCCAAGGCGGCCACCACGACGGCGGCACCCGGGGCGGCGGGGGAACAGGACCAGGCCAGCACGACTGCGGTGTCGCCCTCGGAGGCCTCGCGCGCGCGCGCCCGGCGCGCCCGCGGGCGCCTCTCGCAGGAGAAGAGTCGGCGTAGACAGAATTGGTTGGTGCGCCGCGCGGATGTCTTGGATCGGCGCTGACGACGACAACGACGACGACGAGGACGACGACGAGGACGACGACGACGACGACGAGGAGGAGGAGGAGGACGACGAGGAGGAGGAGTACGACGACGAGGCCCCCCTTGGCGGCGCCTCCGGCGTTGCCCCTGGCGCGCTCCGCGCGCCAGGCACTTAAGGGGGCCCGGCACGGATCCAAGACATCGGCGCCGACCTTTGAATGTTTATGCTTGTGTTGCTTTCTCTTTCTCTCTCTCTTTCCCTCTCTTTTTTTCGCCGGGCGCGTTCCCCTACTCGCACAGTGCCTTCCCGCAAACGTCAGAAAACACCCACACACACATGTCTGCTTCGATGTGATGTATCGTAGATCCCCCGCGGCGGATCCTGGCCATTGGCGAGTGGTGGAGCGCGCTCGTCCATTGTCAGACTCCTGCAGTCCGCGGGTCCCCCGAGGGGTCGAGACTCGAAGACCACCCGCCGCCCCCAAGACCCCCGACGTCATGATTTTTTCATGACGTCGACCCCCTGGTCGGGCATGTCCCCCTATAGAGACGGAAGTTGGAAGAACAGTGGAACGCAGCCAAGGAAGCCTCGGATGGTCGAACCTCGCCCCCAGACTACGTCTACGAGCTTTGAAGATCCCTCCGGCAGACCCAGACTCCCGACGTCATGACTTTTTGATGACGTCGACCCCCGAGGTCTCGACCCATTCCCCGGGACCGGTTTTTCGTCTTGAGTCGTTTTTTGATGGTCTCGAGGGCCGGTCAAGGCCCCCAAAGGCCAAGAATAAGGAAAAACCTCCCGTCGTGATTTTTTCATATTTCGAGGGGGTCTGGGCCCCGAGCCGCCCCGGCCAGCCAGCGCCCCCCTCCGGCGGCGACGGCGACGAATAGAGCACGGCCAGGGCCAGCACGGCGTCGGCGGACCAGGACGCCGGCGGCACGGCGGCAGGAGCAGGGCGACGACGAGGGAGCTCGCGACTCCGAGGCGGGCATTCCTACAGAGCCGCTGCCCGGAGAGTCTCGGGCCGGACGAGAGGGGGGGATTGGGAAATGATGGGTTACGAAATTAGCTGCATGCAGCTGGTTCCGGTCAAACGACGCGAAGATCGGGACAAAATCGGATCGGGATAACTCGAAATCTCTGGGAATCGGCGGGTTTGGAGGATGTATTGGGCGCCGCGGCCGCTCCAGAGCGTTCCGGAACGCTCTGAGAGCGCTCCAGAACGCTCTGGAGCGATTTATCCCGATCCTAGCCCTGTTTTGGTTACGAAGTTTGCTGCATGCAGCTGGTTCCGGCCCCACCGAGGGGCCCATTCCTCGATACATGGCCGCCTCTGGCGCCGGGAGGCGCCAGGAGAGTCAGCTACGTGAGCTGATTCTCGAACCCCCCTTTTGCTATCCCCCCCCTTTCGCCCGGCCCGAGAGTCGCGTCTCGGAGACCTCGACGTGCGGCGAGTATGGATATTTTGCAGTGGCCTCCGGCCAGTGCCGCCGATCGGGGACGCTTCCGTTGCCGCCGGAAGCGCGCGATGGCGGTCATGACGGGCGACGACGGCGAGCAGCGAGGTCGGGGCTCAAGGGACGGGGGTCGGGGTCAGTGCTAACGGGGGTCAGCCAGGGCACCGGATCTTGTAGGATCCTGCGAAGACCCTCTCTGGCTGATCCGGGTTACCGAGCCGCTCGTGGCCGCGAGGCGGCCGCGCATATTTGTTGACCCGGGTATGCGAAAACTTGCCTTTTTTTTTCTCCTTGCGTTGCAGTTTTTTGGTTTCCTGCTGACCCGGGCCAGGATTGACCCAGGCCACGAGATCCCCGGTGAGGATGATGATGAGGATTGGGAGTTCATGTCTCGGAGACTTCGACGGGCGGCGAGCATGGATATATTTTGGGCCCCCAGGGTCCAGCAGGGATCCATGCCCGCCACCGCCTCCTCCTCCTCCTGCTCCTCCTCCTCCTCCTCCTCCTCCTCCTCCTCCTCCTCCTCCTCCTCCTCCTCCCCTCCTCCTCCTCCTCCTCCTCCTCCTCCTCCTCCTCCTTTTCCTCCTCCTCTTCCTCCTCCGCCCAGTGCGGCGCCAAGGCGTCGGCTCCCGGGCGGTGGCAATGGAGAGAAACCCCGCCTTTCAATGAGGGGCGACGGTTCCAGGGGCCCCCTTGCGGGCTCGAGGTCCCGAGAGGCCGCGTCCTGGCCACGCCCGGGCGTCCGCCGGCCTCCCCGCGGGACCTGGGGATGAGTATCCAGTACCGTTTTGTTGGGGTACACTTTGTACCTTCCCTTCGGGTTGCAAGTACAAATTGTACCTTCTCCCCCCCCGTTAACATCCTCGCACATGTCGCGGACGTTGTCAAAAATACAATGTGTACCCTGTCTGCGTGGCGTCGGTGCAAATTGTACCTTCTCCGTGGGGAGAAGGTACAATTTGTACCTCGGTTGCGCCTCTCTCCCAGTCTGGACTTTTCCCCCCATTTGCATCCCGCCAAGCGGGGGGCTTCCATGGAGGCACGTTCCGAGAGGCGGACTCCTGGCTCAGTGGAGCGTCGATAGGTAAGGTCGCTGCACAGGTGAAAGTCGATGTGAGCGGTGTCGCAGCCGGGAAATCCAGCGCAGCCGAAGTTTCGCACGAGTAGATCGTTTGCACGAGTCCGTCGATGACATTCGGAGGACAAGTGGAGGTCGTTGCACGAGTCCGTCGTTTCGTTCGTTCGTTCATTCGGCCCCTGGCTCGGCGATGACAAATCGGAGGAGGGAAGTGTGCGCATGCCGTTACCCTTCTTCGTTTTCCCCTTGCTCGGGCCTCCCGGGAGGCCATCGTCGCCGCCGCTGGGGTCGCTTCGAGATTCTGCTCAGGGGGCTGCGACGCGTGGAACTGTCGCCGTTGTCGTGGGCTCCTGGGAGGTCCTGCGGAACGCAGCGGCGCGGGGTCCCATTTTGGGTTTTTCTGCTCCCGTGGGGGCTGCGCAGTGTGAGATTGTCGGCAGTTTCGTTGGCTCTAGGGAGATCCGGCGGGGTGGAGTGGCATGGGGGCCCAGTTGAGACCTCGCGGTTCCTTTGGGGGGTGGGGCTGCGAAGTGTGAGAATGTCTGGATTTTCGCGGGCTCCTGGAAGGTCGCGCGAAGTGAAGTCACACGGGGGCCCAGTTGAGATCTCACTGCTCCGTTCGGGGCTGCGAAGTGTGAAATTGTCGCCACTTTCGCGGGCTCCTTGGAGGTCCAGCGGAGTGGAGTTACACGGCGACCCAGTTGACACCTCGCGGTTCTTGGGGGGGCTGCGGAGTGTGAAATTGTTGCCGCGTTCGCGGGCTCCCACGAAGTCCAGCGGCGTGGAGTGGTACGGTGATCCCGTCGAGACATCGCTGCTCCCTGGCGCCTTCGCGGCAGAAAGGTTGGCGCGCGGGTTCGGCCTGGGGCAGTTCCTGCGCGTGTGGCGCGAAAGCCTGCGTGCTGCGTCGGCCGAGTTCGCGGCAGCCGTCGCTAGCGCCTCGTTGGCGCGGTACTTTACGAGAACTGCAACTCACGGCGGCTGCTCTCGTCCCAAATTTCAGCAGTTCCCATTGGCGCGCGGCGCTGTCTCGCAGCGCGTGGCATTGTCTTTTGTCCGCGTGGCCCACTGTCTTCAGCTGCCTCTGGCCCGCTATGTCGCCGCTCGCTTGCTTCGTTCAGCGCGACGTGCAGTTTCGCTTCAGAGCGCATGGCGCTGTTCTGTCCCGCGCATGTAACGCTCGGCGCGGTTATTGTCGCTGCACGTATGTCCCCGTTTCACCCTTCTCCGCGCGCTTCTGTTCCCGCCCCTACCTTGCCTTTCCTGCGCGCTGAATCGATGCACTTCTGGGGGCCCATGCGCGCTGCGAGTCCTTCGGCCTGTTTCTTTACATCGAGCGGTCCTACATATACTCGCAATATTTTTAGACATGGTCGGGTCCGTCACTGGGTAATTCTCCCACGAGTCGCCCCCCCTTGGCTTTAGGGCCGTCAAGAGACAACTCGGCATGTAAATCTGTCCTCGGGAAGGCTCCGCGGGTTCGATCGAATGTGGGGTTGGTTGCGTAACGATTTGAGTTCTATATGCTTACGCCGCATCCGCCGGCCCCCCTGAGCGTCACCGTGCCCAGCCTGTGGGTCAGAGGCTTCTCGGATGTTGGCTGGGACGTCGTGGGTGGCCTCATGGGAGCCTCCAGGGGGCAGTTTTGAGCTCTCTTGGGGGCCGTTTTGGGGTCTCCTGGGGCGTCTGGGGGCCCCTTCGGGGCTTTTTGGGGGCATCTTGGGGCCTCCACGGGGCATTTTAGGGCGGAAGCTCGCGTCGTCGGTTCGGTGTCCCTCTCTTGGGCTTTAGTTGGGATCGTCTATGTGGTCTCTTGGGCCGTTTAGGGCGCCTTTTGGGCCATCTTGGAACCTTCGTGGGTCGTGTGGGGCTCTCCTGGAGGCTCTTGGGCCGTCTTGGGGCGGTTGTGGGGGGGTCTTTGGGGTCCTTCTTGGAACGTCGGAAAGCGGAAAAGCCGGACGTACTGAACATGTGCGTTTTCCCGCGAGGATTTGACGATTTGTGCTTCGAGGCCTTGGCAGCCTCCAGGGGATTTTCTTGGCGCCTCTTGGGCCGCCTTGGGTGTCAGGACGTTTTCGAAACCGTCTTCGCGCTTTCAGGAGCCGTTTTCGGTCAGCAAACGGGCCCCGGGGGGAGCCGGACCCGATCGTGGATGGCCGAATCCCCACCAGCTGAGTTCGGCCAGGGGTCGTGGGAGGCTTGCGTGGGGGAATATAATTTCCAGTTTCGAGGCCCTGGGCTGGATCATAGGGGGGAACGATCTTACGCGCCCAGAGTTTCGCAAAGGGTCGGCGGATTTATCAAACAGTTAGCTCCCCCGTCGCAATTATTTGAAGTCGCAACCGTTCAATCGATCTACCGAAATTCCACTCATT